AACTCCAGCAGAACCAGCCCCTCTGTCAGCGACGCTGGCGCAGTTTGCTGCGGGCACGCAGCGCTGTCCCTGCCGAGGTGACGAGTCCCTGGCCGCTGCCAGGGTCAGTGCCACTGTGCCCCGCTGTCCCTGGGCTCCCCGCGTCCCTGCCCCGCCGCAGCAGTGTCTGTCCCAGCCTCTCCCCTCTCCCGGCACTGTCCCCCCGTGCTGGCGGCCCCGGGTGCCGCCCTGCCCGCGTGCGCTGCCGGGAGCTGTCCCTGCGGCTGTTTTTGTCCTTTATTCCCGTCCCCATCGCTGCTCCTGCCCCTTGGCTCCATCCCCGTCCCGCTCCCCTCACGCCCGGCCGGAAGTGACGCCGTCTCCGCGCGCCAGCTCGGCGCGCATCCTGCCACGTGTTTCCGCCGCGCGTGGCCGCCAGCGGCGCCGGGGCCGGGACCGGATCGGTGATCGGGGTCGGGACCGGGATCGGAGCCGAGATCGGATCGGGACCGGGACCAGGCCGGGATCGGAGCCGGGACCGGGACCGGGATCGGGATCGGGGCCGTTATCCAGGTGCGCCCCGCCATGTTCCGCATCGAGGGGCTGGGGCCCAAGATGGACCCCGAGGAGCTGCGCCGCAAGATGCGCCGCGACGTGCTGGCCTCCGTGCGCAACTTCCTCATCTACGTGGCGCTGCTGCGGATCAGTGAGTGACGGGCCCCGCGCCCCGCGCCCGGCCGGCCCGCGTGCCGCCGGCGCTGAGCCTTGTTCTCCCCGCAGCCCCGTTCGTCCTCAAGAAGCTGGACAGCATCTGAGCGCCGGCATGCCGCCCGTGTCCCGCCGCTGCCCTGCCCGCCCTGCCCTGCCCAGCTCGCGGCGGAGCCGCTGAAATAAAGGGGGAGCGGCCGTGCCCTGCTCGCGCTCTTGGTGTCGCGCGGTGTCCCCGGCCCGCTCCGGGCGCTCAGCTGGGGCCTGGGAGCTGGGCCAGCCTCGGCAGCACAGGCAGGCTGCTCGGAGCCTCCCTGCCTGCTGCACCCGGGGAAGGTGCCCGTCTGCAGGCGGCTCTGCATTCCCCTGGGAGTGAGATCGGGCGTTCCCCAGCCGGGCTGGCTGCCGGCTGCCGGCAGGAACAGGCTTGGGCTGGGACAGGAGGGGTTCTGCTCCTGCTCTGTGCCAGGGCTGCCGCGGTGCTGGGGACAGCCTGGCAGCAGGCTCGGGGCTCTCAGGGTGTGGCTGTGGTGTACACCGGGATGGCAAACCAACACAGGTGTCCAGCAGGAGCCTGGACTCCTCTGAGACCCACAGGGGATCCCCAGGCACTCGTGCCCCTCACAGCAGCCATTTCCGCGCCTTGCTGCTCCCACGAGTGATCCAGCCACCCCAGCTGTGGG